GGGGGCGGGGGGGGGGGGATCAGGAGATAGGATAGATGTGTTGAGGAAAGAATAGGAAGGTCTAGTCTTTCCAGGGATGGCATATAAGAAGAAATTGCCCACAGGCTGGTTCAGGTTTCTGGTAAAGTCTGAAGCATGGAAGATAATTTGGGAATGGAATTTTGAGGTAGGAAGCAAGAGGAGAGAAAATGATAGATACCAGAGATCAGAGCTGAATGACATGGGCAAGGAGGAAGGATAACAAGCTGGCAAGGGCAGCATGAGCCTCTCTGAAGGTAGGTGTTCCTTGATAGAGGAGGTGAGGTGGCCCAGAAGCAAAGAATAAAATTTGCATGATCCTTGAGGGTAATAGCCTTGGGCAGCTGTCCCCCACCGACCTTGCCCCTGCCCTCACCGAAGCAGCAGTAGATGATTCCAAAGCAGCAGCAAAGGGCACACACCAGGGCAGGTGCTAATTCAGGATTGTCCTGGGGTTTCAAGACACATCTTGGGTCTGGAGGCTCTGGGAGTTGTTGATTAAAGGGCCTGGGGTCAGATGTCACAGTTAAGGGCAGCAAGGCTTTCTCCATGATTGAAGAGAACGTGGTCATAGAATGGAAGGTTGGTGTTGGCTCCTCTCATCTATCCATGCATGTCTTAAAGGGTTGGGAAACCTACAAGGGGACAGGGGTAGGAACTCAGGCACCCATGGATCTTGAGGACTCTGTACCTCTTTTTTTTCTGTTGAAAAATGGCCAATCAGAAGAAAGAATGGCCTTCTTGGGGTAACTGAAGAAATCTACAGGACTGTGTTGAGAGGAGCAGGATGTTTCTTTCCTACCCTCTGGAAAAAGGACACTAAATAAAACTTAAATGAAAATTTTATAATGAGCTTTTGCCCTGCCCCGCACTCCCTGCCCAGTTTTTCAGGGTCAGTGTAGGAGAATTAGGAAGCCCTGAGTCTGTTGAAAGCCCTAATGGGACTGGGGGCTAAAGCAGCCTGTTTCGGCTAAAAAGAAAACTTGCCTCTGCAGCTGGGACTCAATACTACCACACTGGATTGGGAAGGGTGGGGTTAATAGGGGAAAGGGAGGAGGAAGAGGAGAGAATGAGTCATGGTGGGGTATCTGGACAGCTGCTCCAATCCTAGGGAAGAAAGAGGGAAAAAATAATCTCCCCAAACAAAAGATACCAAAAGAGTTTGGGACAAGGAATTAAGCAGAGACAGTCACCCTCAGTTTGTCAGGGTTTTAAAGCCTTGGCTTCATGCTGAAGTGGAGTTGTTGGGGGGAAGGGTGTGTGCAGCCACAGTTAAAATCCCATGACCCTATATAAGCAGGCACCTTGTCCACAGACATCTCACATCCTGGTAGCCCCTTGCTCCTCCCTAAGAACACTGAAGACATTTTTCACACCCTTCCCTTTCCCCAGGGATATCAGGGCTGCCAATGGCATTTGAATACAGATCCTAAAGGGAGATCACCAAGGAGGAGTTGTCATTTGGGGTATCTTGGGATGGCATGGATGCAGGCACTTTCCTTCAGCTGTCTTTTGGACATCAAGGTCCTAACAGGCTGAGAGTTGGCTTGGGAAATTCCTTTTCCTCAATCCGTTTATAAGTCTGGGACCCTAAACAAGGAGAGGTTGGGGAGGGAAGGTTAGCTACTCACCACCCTGTCAGGGCTCAGGAAAGGAGCGGGGTGGAAATGCTTTCCTATACCCCCAGCAGCATCCTAGCCCGGAGGTTCAGACGTTGGGATGGGTGTCAGGCGTAGGCACCCCCAGGGCCACTGTTCTTTGCTTCCTAAACTCTTGCAAGTCGTAGCCCAAACCCTGTGAGCTAAACGCAACTAGCTGGGGGGTGGTGGTGGTGGTGGAGGAAGGGGACCGGGTGTGTGAGTGAGGGGGGAGTGACATCACGTGGCGGGCCCCTCCAATCCTTTCCCCTGCGTGTGGGAGGATCCAGTTGCCAACTGTTCTAATCCAGGATCAAGACTCCCAAAGATAGCAGGAAAGGGTCTTGGAGATCATAGCAAGAAGTAGGGGCAAAGTATGAATACTTAGGAGAAGATTTCACAACTTGAAGCTCTCAAAGTCCCAAGTGGGCTCCCAGCACCCCCCTAGCTCTAGCTTGGTTTCTTCCACTTCCCAGAGAATTGGAGTATTGTCTTTTGGARAACCGGGTAGTCTGGATCGGGGAACCGCGAAGGGGCTTTTACTGATCTGGGGGAGCTGGCTGGGATTCCTGGGGGGAAAAACTTGCGGAGCAAGACGAGGCACTAACAGAATTGYAAGGCTAGACATGTACGCTGAGAGGACTCTGCAGGGTCTGCGTGGGGACCCGGGCGAAGGTAGACGTCTACCGAGAGGATCGGTATGCAAATGAGATGCAAAATAGCACGCAGATTAGTGCAGTTTTCTGCTGCACTTGGTTGTGATTCTGAGTCCTGCAGAGCTACGCTCGCAGTCCCCTGGCCTCTCTCTGTGACACGGTGTGGGAACCGCGTCCAGAGGGGGCGGGTCTGGGGCGTGGGAGCTGTAGTTATTAGGGGCAACTCGCCAGCTGGGTCAGGAGCGGAGGAGGCTGAGGGCTGCTGGAAAAGGAGGGGCAGCGCTTCAGAGCCAGGGCTGGGGCTGGCCGGGGCACCCACTCCTTCGCTCCATCTATACAGGATACAAAGGGGCCTCTGTCTTGGCTACAGCCGTCAAGGAAGATATCAAGACGGTGGCTTCTCATGGCTCCCCGTTTTGTCTGCAAGGGAAACAGACTCTGCGCGGCCTGGTAGCTGTTCTCCATCTCCCAATCTGGGCAAAGCCCAGGAATACAGCCAGAGCAATTCTGAGAGTCTGTTCCCAGCCCGCAGGCATTGCTGCAGAACCGACTTGCTTCGCTTGCAGAGGCTCAACCTGCGGGGACAGCCATTGCAGCACGCGGAGGGCCCTTTAAGGGGTGGGGCCAGTGCTCCACCGGGCCGCCTCCAATTCGATTCGGCGCTAGCTAGACTGGCTCGCACCTCTGCCAACCGTTTTTTCTTTTTCTTCCCGTCTCTTCCCTGGTGACCCCGGAAGTGGAAGTAGGCTCAGGTCGGTGGCCGCGGCGGGGACGGAAGGCGGAAGCAGAGGGTGAACGGGAGGCGGAGCCGGGGGAGCTGCACTCGTAGCTCCCCCTGGCCCCAGGCCCAGCTGCTCAAGGGGGAGGAGTTACCGCCGCTCTTCGGTACGTTACTTTCACCTCTTCTATCCAGCGGGTAGGAGGGTTCCCTGGGGCAACCCTGAGCTCCTCCCCCAGCTTTTCCTTGAGGGCCGCACAGTCCCCACCCTTTTCTGACAGTCTGCGGCGCCCCCTTTCCGACCGTTTTTCTCTTTTTCTTAAGAGTGACCCCCCCGACCACACCCTGTGCCGTCCTTCCCTCTCTTCCTGATTGAAGATTATAGCTTCCTGGGGAATGAAGAAAGACTACGGAGATCGGTGGTGTGTGTGTGTGTGTGTGTGTGTGTGTGTGTGTGTGTATGTATGTGTATGTTCAAGCAAGGATGCAGTTAGTCTGGTTCTGGCTTATTGTTAGGGCTAATGAATGCCCTAGGAAAACTTGGGATAATGAGGGGGATGCCTACACTGAATATGTCCCCACTTTAAGATTGCTTAACTCTTCTCTTGGTTCCCACCTTGACCATCCCCATCTTGATACCTTTGTTCCAGGCATCTGAACTTATAATGATGGCTGTGACCTAAAACCCTCAGGAAGCCCTGGGGTCATGGCCCAGAAGCCCCCTGGAGAAAGAGGGTTGTGTGGAGCCCACCAAAGTGGTGGTGCCTCCCTCAGGACTTTAGGATCCTCCGCGGACCCTGAAATACTTTCATTCTCAGGACTCAGGGACTCAGCAGGGACTGCTCCTAATGGTACCCGCTGCCTCACAGAGCACTCTGGTCCTAAGTACACACGGCCCCCAAACCCATCCCACTGGTCGGATCCAAGCCATGGCCCCCCAAGGGGTCCAGGACCACCTAGGGAAGGAGAGGACCCTGATCAGAGTGAGGCATCTTCAGAAGAGTCGGGAGTGGACCAGGAACTCTCAAGAGAGAATGATGTCGGGTACCAAGAGGATGGGAACCCTTCTTTTCTTTCCATTCCATCTGCTTGTAACTGCCAGGGAACCCCTGGAATCCCTGAAGGGCCATATTCTGAGGGAGGAGATGGCTCTTCTAGCAACTTTTGTCACCATTGTACCTCTCCAGCCTTGGGGGAAGATGAAGAGTTGGAAGAGGAATACGATGATGAGGAACCTCTTAAATTCCCCAGTGATTTTTCACGTGTGTCCAGCGGAAAGAAACCCCCATCTCGGAGACAGCGACATCGCTTTCCAACCAAGGAGGATACTCGGGAGGGTGGGCGTAGAGATCCCAGATCTCCTGGTCGACATCGGTTGGGCAGAAAACGAAGTCAGGCAGATAAGCGCAGAGGTCTGGGATTGTGGGGAGCAGAGGAACTATGTCAGCTTGGACAGGCAGGCTTTTGGTGGCTGATTGAACTGCTGGTATTGGTGGGAGAATATGTGGAAACTTGTGGCCATCTCATCTATGCATGCAGGCAGCTAAAAGGCAGTGATCTGGACCTTTTTCGAGTTTGGGTGGGAATCTGGGCAGGGAGGGTGGGGGGCTGGGCCCAGATGATGTTCCAGTTTCTACGCCAAGGGTTTTACTATGGGGTAGGACTGTTCACCCGTTTTCTTAGGTTACTGGGTGCTTTGCTGCTCCTGGCACTGGCCCTCTTTTTGGGCTGTCTACAGTTGGGCTGGCGGTTTCTGGTGGGACTGGGTGACCGTTTAGGCTGGAGGGATAAGGCCACCTGGTTCTTCTCTTGGCTGGATTCTCCAGCCTTGCAGCATTGCTTGACTGTGCTGAGAGATAGCAGGCCATGGCAACAGCTGGTAAGAATAGTTCAGTGGGGTTGGCTGGAGTTGCCGTGGGTCAAGCAGAGGACTAATAGGCAGGGGAATACACCTATAGCTAGTGGACGCTACTGCCATCCTGAAGAGGAAGTGGCTCGACTCTTGAGCATGGTTGGGGTTCCTGAGGATGAATTAAACCCTTTCCATGTGCTTGGGGTTGAAACCACAGCATCAGATATTGAACTGAAGAAGGCCTATAGGCAGCTGGCAGTGATGGTGAGTACTCTTCCCTGTATTTCCTATTCCTCTTTGTTTCCATATTTTATTTTCTGTTTCAGTTTTAGGGAGACAATAAAGGAAACTCAGAAAATCAATTGAAGCTCACGGATAAAATTCTTAGGACATTTTTGGTACTGGGGATTGAACCCAGGGGAGCTTTACTACTGAACTATAGCCCCAGCCATTTGTGTCTTATATATTTGAGACAGGGTCTCAGTAAGTTGCCCAGGCTGACCTCAAACTTATGATCCTCTTGCCTAGTCTCCTGAGTAGCTGGGATTATAGGTGTGTGCCCCGGTGGCAGGCTCATAAAGACTTATTCTCTGTACTATGGGATCTACCTTCCTTCCATTTAAAGTATTTTTTGTCATGATTTTTGCCCCTGTCCTCCTTTGGAACTTGTTATAGCAAGCATTGTTGAACTCACTCATCCTGGAATAGCTAGATGAAATCCCTTTAGGGTGGGGAAGAGGCCTACTAGTCACAGAGTACCTTAGATGCTCTCCCCTGAATAAAGGAGGATTTTTAAACATGGGGCAACCCTGCTGTCTCTCCTAGATAGGCAAGTGTGGATCTAGTCTGGGAAGATTCAGGGAGTGCCCCTGAATGTTTATTCCAGGACCAGGTAGAAAAAACATAGTATTTCTAGATCAGCAACCCAGAATATGAAAGGGCAGGAAAATGAAACATAAATCACAGAGAAGTATATGCATATGTATTTGTACCTGAAAGTATGGTTGCTTTTAGTGATAAGGGAGTGTATAGGTAGGAGTTGTGATATTCCATATGCTTGAAGGAAATGGTTTAATGCTAGCAGGCAGTCAAATTGCTATTAGAAGTAGGTATTAAGTTGCTATTTTTTTGGGCTGGGGATGTGGCTCAAGCGGTAGCGCAGTCGTCTGGCATGTGTGCCGCCCGGGTTCAATCCTCAGCACCACATACAAACAAAGATGTTGTGTCCGCCGAGAACTAAAAAATAAATATTAAAAAATTCTGTCTCTCTCTCTCTCTCTAAAAAAAAGAAAAAAAGTTGCTATTTTTTATTTTTTATTTATTTTTAAATTTTTTTTAGAGAGAAGGAGAGAATTTTAATATTTATTTTTCAGTTTTTGGTGGACACAACATCTTTGTGACACAACATCTTTGTATGTGGTGCTGAGGATCGAACCTGGGCTGCACGCATGCCAGGCTAGCACGCTACAGCTTGAGCCACATCCCCAGCCCAAGTTGCTATTTTTTAGATACATGATTGTTATTGATATTTTTTACAACTAAAACTGTTATGAATGTAAGTAAAGTGTGTAAATTGCAATGGAGACCTACTTCCATTCTTTATGGAGCTGGACTGGTAAAACATCATAGTATGCAAATTACTTCAAAGACTACATGACACCAAAGAGAAATGGGCAACCAAAGTTTCCCTTAATGATTAATGGTACAACCAGGCCTGTAACTTACCAAAGAACTGGAAAATGCATACCCCTTAGTGGATAGCCGAAGATATTCTTAGTGTAGAAGCAACTGCTTACCCTCAGATTGTTATTACTAGTAGAGTTCTTTTTCTTACCTTTGTGTATTTTAGCATTTATCTCCTGGAGGATATAATTCTTACAAAAATTCTCATTTTCAACTTATCTTGGAGTGAAAATATGGTTAAGTTCCCTTTACACACCCAAAGTTCTTGTGTGGGCGTCCTACACTCTGAAGTTCTCTCTTGTTTTGGGCAAGAGTTTGTTAGCTTTTTTTTATATAGTTTCTCACTGACCTTACTAGGCCCCTGTGTGAACGTGTCTAAAAGGCTGTTATATTAGTTTGAGAATGTAGGAATTTAATAGCATTCTTTGTTGGGGGAGGGGTGGGCATCAGTGAGGAGACTCACTATATCTCTGTATTTTTGGGAACAGGGATAGTAACAATCAGGAAGCTGTAGAAAGAGAGGTTATTATTTGTCATGGAAGAAAGACTGAATTTTTTTTTTTTTTTTTTTTTTGATACCAAGGATTGAACTCAGGGACACTCAACTACAGAGCCACATCACAATCCCTTTTTTGTATTTTATTTAGAGACAGGGTCTCACTGAGTTGCTTAGGGCCTTGCCAAATTTCTGAGGTTGGCTTTGAACTCGCTTTCCTCCTGCGTCAGCCTCCCTAGCCACTGGGATTATAGGCACACAGTAGTCTCTGATATCTTCATATGCTATTTCATTTTGGAGACAAAAAAGCAGATTATAGTAGAAACTATATATAACTAAATTCTAGTTAGAGAAAGGACGAATGTGAACATGTAACATCTTTGGGACTCTTTACCACTGAGCTACATGCCCAGCTATCCCAACTCTTTTTTAAAAATATTTTTTCAGCTGTTGATAAACCTTTATTTTTTTTAAAAATTTATTCATATGCAGTGCTGTGAATCAAACCCAGGGCCTCACACGTTATGCAAGTGCACTACTACTGAGCCCCAGCCCTACCCCCCTATTTTTTAAAAAATATTTTTAGTTGTAGTAGGGCACAATACCTTTATTTTATTTTTATGTGATGTTGAAGATTAAACCCAGTGTCTCACATGTGCTAGGCAAGCGCTTTACTAAACACTGAGCCATAACCCCATCCCCAGCCCTTTTTATTTTTTGAGGCAAAGTCTTGCTAAGTTGCTTAGGGCCTCATAAGTTGCTGAGGCTGGCCTTGAACTGCAGTCCTCCTGTCTCAGCCTCCCAACTGGCTGGGATTACAGGCGTGTGTAACCAAGCCCGGCATCTTTGGAACTCTTTATGGCTGATTATAAAACTGAAGTGCAGGGCTGGGGATGTGGCTCAACTGGTAGCGCGCTCGCCTGGAGTGCGTGCGGCCCGGGTTCGATCCTCAGCACCACATACCAACAAAGATGTTGTGTCTGCCGAGAACTAAAAAATAAATATTAAAAATAAAATTCTCTTCTCTCTCTCTCTAAAAAAAAAAAAAAAAAAAGTCAACCATCTAATGTCACTATAATTAATGTGTGGTCTATTTATAAAAATAATTGTCAACCTAGGAGTGAAATAAAAGAAAAATCTTTAAAAACAAAAAAACAAAAAACTGAAGTGCAAGGGCTTAGTATATGTGTGCCAGGTAAAGGGACCAGCCATCCTTATTTGCCTATTTGAGGTTGTGGGGTTTCCTGACATGTGGAACTTTCAGTGCTAAATTGGGGTAGTCTCAGGCAAACTGGGATGGTGAGTCACCCTAGTGCCAGATTCAGTGCAGTAACTCCCCCTACCACTAGCCCTAGACTTTTTTGTTGTTGTATTGGGGATTGAACACAGGGGTGCTTTACTACAGAGATATATCCCCAGCCCTTTTTATTTTGAGAGAGGTTGTTGCTAGATTACCGAGGCTGGTCTCAAAATTGAGGCATCAGCCTCTTGAGTAGCTACAATTATAGGTATATGCCACTATGCCTGGCACATGTATTCTTATTTAATCCTCCTAAGAATTCATAATAGGGGCTGGGATTGTGGCTCAGCAGTAGAATGCTCACCTTGCATGTGTGAGGCCCTGGGTTCGATCTTCAGTACCACATAAAAATAAGTAAATAAAATAAAGGTATTGTGTCCAACTACAACTAAAAAAATATTTTAAAAAATTCATGATAGATATATTCAAGGTCATAGAGCTAATAAATGACAGCTGGGATTTGAACCCAGATCCAGGGGCAAAGCCAGCATAATTAATCATATTGAAGGGTTGGGGTTGTAGCTCAGTAGTAGAATGCTTGCCTAGCATGCGTGAGGCACCGGGTTCTAGCCTCAGTACCACATAAAATTAAATAAATAAAAGTACCATGTTCATCGACAACTTAAAAAAAATTAAAAAAATAAAAGGTATACTGAGTCTTCAAAAGGGTGATGAAAGAGAACTCTGTTATATGGGAATAGACCTAAGATGGGGAGAGGGTTGAAATGGATTTGTGATTAAATCTCTTTGTTTTGGTAGGTTCATCCAGATAAAAATCAACATCCCCGGGCTGAAGAGGCCTTCAAGGTTTTGCGGGCAGCTTGGGACATTGTCAGCAACCCTGAAAGGCGGAAGGAATATGAGATGTAAGTTGGAGATGGGAAATTGTTAGGTGAGACAAAATGAAAATTCCTCAATGGGAGAGGCCCCTGAACTTGTGGATGGAGGCTCTCGGGCAAAGAGAACTGCAGTTACTTTCCTCTGATGAGCCAGGTAGCTCAAGGGGTGAATAGATGCCCCTCTTGTTGTCCCTCCCTCAGTATTCTCTGACTTACAAAGGCTTTCTTTTAGGAAACGAATGGCAGAAAATGAGTTGAGCCGGTCTGTGAACGAGTTTCTGTCCAAGCTACAAGATGACCTGAAGGAAGCAATGAATACCATGATGTGTAGCCGATGCCAAGGAAAGCATAGGTATGATATAGGACAGGGATGGGACAGCGACAGCTCAGGAACTGGGTAACAAAGACTTTCTTCTTGAGTATTTTTGATAATTTTAGGATACAGATAGTGAGGTTTGTACCTTAGCCGTACTATCAAGAGGTTGATTCAGATTAGCAGTAAGACAAAAAAATTAGCTAAGATAGAAAATTGAGGGCATAGTGTAAACAGGCATATGTAACAACCTAGTGGAGATAATTTTAAATCTTTTAGCTATGTTTGAAAACAATGATGAGATTACTAGCATTGCTGTATGTACGCTTGGTAACTATCAAGGAACTATCATTTTGTTTTGCATTTCAGGAGGTTTGAAATGGACCGGGAACCTAAAAGTGCCAGATACTGTGCTGAGTGTAATAGGCTGCACCCTGCTGAGGAAGGAGACTTTTGGGCAGAATCAAGCATGTTGGGCCTCAAGATTACCTACTTTGCACTGATGGATGGAAAGGTCTATGACATCACAGGTATACATCTATCCTCTAGAAATATGGGCTTGCTTCATTGCATATGGTTTAATCTATGATGTTTTGGCTAATTATTTCTTCTGTTTGCAGAGTGGGCTGGATGCCAGCGCGTTGGAATCTCCCCAGATACCCACAGAGTTCCCTATCACATCTCATTTGGTTCTCGGATCCCAGGTACCAGTGGTCGCCAGAGGTAGGTGGTATTCCTCAATTACCTATCCACCATTCCGGTTTTGAATGTGGTTTCAGATGACCTGCTGTTTAGAACACCTAGGTACCTCTCTAGGAAGTTTGGGAACTAACTCAATGTATCTGTACCTTAAGTAAGCATGACTCTTAACATTTCTTGTCGTATTGTTTTTTTTTCCTCCTCAGAGCCACCCCAGATGCCCCTCCCGCTGACCTTCAGGATTTCTTGAGTCGGATCTTTCAAGTACCCCCAGGCCAGATGTCCAATGGGAACTTCTTCGCAGCTCCTCAGCCTGGCCCTGGGGCCACTGCAGCCTCCAAACCCAACAGCACAGTACCCAAGGGAGAAGCCAAACCGAAGAGGCGGAAGAAAGTGAGGAGGCCCTTCCAACGTTGACGCCCCTTCTCTTTTTTCCTCAAATCATTGTCAGGGAGTCAAAAGGGCTGTGTACAGCACAGGATGGWGTTTGATTTGATTATTTTTAAATATTTTAAAAAGGGAAAATGTTAAGCTTAAATTGTTCACTCAGTACTTGTAGGAAGCCCCTGAACCACTCGCCTTCCTCCCCCAGCACCCAGGAACTGAATCTTGTCTTCTGACAATACCAAAGAAATAGGGGGTGGCTAGAGCAAAGAACCTAAGGCCTGGACCTAGGCTGGACAATGTATCCCTTTGAGGTATGGGAATTGGGTATTTCCCTGGGGCCTGTATGCCTTTGTCTTGTCATTTGCTTTTATAGCAGATGATATTACCCCACCCCTGCTTTTTAAACTGAGTCTATCTTATTTCTTGACCCATTTCAGGGGGAGGCCCCCTCCTTTACTCTGATATACTAGTTAAAAGACAGAACAAGAAAGCATGTAGCCCTAATTTTGAAGATGCATAGAGTTCAAAGAGTGTAAACTGAACTTTTCCTCTGACTTTTACCTTGTGGGAAAATCATCCCACTTCAGGCTTATTGCTGCAAGGATGGCCAAAATTAATAATTTTTAAGAAGCAGACTCATGCCCTGTGCCCTTGGGTGAGGGGAAAGGATAAGGGGTTCCTAGAAGCCCTCTTGTGATCCAAGGGTTTGTATTTTTTTAAGTTTGTTCATATTTGTATGTACATATCTATTTAAAGCCAGGGGATTATCTTTCTATAAATATATAACTGGCAACCTGTATCTTCCCTTTCTTCTTTGCCTATATAGCTGCAGCCCTTTTTTCTCATTTGAGAATCCTTTCCCTACTTTTATGTGAGTGAAGAGGATCTCCTATTGGACCAAGGGAGAAGGGATAAAAAATTGCTTAGTTTTATATAAAGAGTTAGTATTGCATCTTTCCTCCCCAGCATTATGAAGACATCTCCTTACATCTCTTGCTGATTGAATTGTAGCCATCACTGGAAAAAGTTACTTTATTATAAGGAAAAGACAAAGCAGAAGCTAGAAGGTGGTAGGGGGTGGAAGATATGGAAAAATGTAACCACCAAACAAGCTACCCAAACTTGGATACCTTCCTGTTGATTTGGCTCTTAACCCCATCTGCTTTTCCTGATTCAAAGAATCTTGTACATAGCAGGGCTGGGCCCAGGAGCCCCATTTCCCAATCTCCCCTTTCTGAGAGTTTGGGGAGAGGTTGTATACTTCTCSGACTTTCAAGACATACAAAATAGTATGGAGAAGGGGAAGATGTTACAGCCTTTTGTTCCAGCACCTTCTCCATGCCCGTGGAACTGTTCTTAGCCCCATCCCTCAGTATTTGTTAATGCCAAAGAGACGAACCCCATGGAATTGAGGTAACTTAGGCAGCAGTACACTGAGCAGTGAGGTAGTGTTGATGAAGAAGTGAGCAGCATCATATTTGGTGTAGAAGCTGGCCAGGAGATAGCTGGGAGAAAAAAAAATAGAAGTGAGGTTGGCCTTCCACATCTCTGTTCTCATGCTTTTTTCAAGTGACTTATTTTAAATGTCCAGTTTTATTGCATGAAATCCTTGGATATCTGAAAATATTCCAGCTATATCAATAGTATTTACTTTGGGACAAAGGAGTAAACACACAGTAGCTTTAACTAGCAATTACAAGTCAGTTTGTTGTTAATGACAAATGGCAATGATAGTTGAAATTGCTTCAGCCTGTATGACTCTTATTTAAGAGTCCTTTTTGCTTCTACTGCCCAGTTTTTGAAGATTAATATCACTTCTGCCTTAATCTATTTGCTTTTAGAAGTGTAAAATTAGTTGGTGTCTTATATTTCTTCAGTTCTTTCTCTATTCCCCTGTGTCCAAGGAGGCAGTGAGGAATGCGTGATTACTGAATTTTACTTTGAACTGTTCTCTATAGGCTCAGGACTAGTGTATCATAGTATTTTCAAAGGGTCTTAGATGAGTGGTCTGCTTTTTAAAAGCTTCTCTATGAGCCATTCCACCTGGTTTTTGGAGCTGTTTCTAATCCAGCGTCTCCCTTAATCCCCAGAGACTCACAGTATGATAGGAGAGATGCTAAGGAATTTGCGAGAAGAAGTAAACTGGAGCCCATAGTCCATCTGCTCCCAGTGCGTCAGTAGCCGAGCCTTTCCTTGGTCAGGGGTTTCAAAGGGTGTTCCTTTCACTGTATGTAAGAAGATATACATTGCCTGGGAAGAGGGAAAAGGATGGTATTAGGGATAGAAAGTAGTCCTTCTACTCAAGAATTATGCTGAGACCCCAAAAGGAAGATAAAAGTCCCCAATTTAATTTTGTTTCTGATTGGGAAAGACCTAGGGTTGGTACAAGGGCCATGTTTTAGTGCTCACCAAGTTATGGATGACGTTGGTCAGGGTCCAGACAACAGGAATGCTGAAGAAGGGGATGCTGAGTAGAACCACATGCAGCAGTCCTACCAAGATGATGTAGGCCAGCCAGATGCCCCGACTATTCATCACTCGGGTGTTGGGGTTTACTTCACTGTGTGCCACCCCCACATTCATCCTACCACAGTGAGGGATCAGGTGGGAGTCCAACTCAATTTCCTCTCAACCCCTGTTTGAGTTTGTTTCCCATAGTTRTCTCCTAAAGAGCCAAAATTCTCTGAATTCTATTGGGAATCAAAGAACTTCCCTATCATGCAGAAAGGAAAAACTGAAGGATAGGGAGAAAACTTGAAAAGCCAAGAATAGTCCATCCTTCTTGTAGAGACGTGGTGATTTTTATTCAGATCCTTACACTTCAACTGCAACAAGGCAGTAAGCCTAGGCTTGGGGTATCCACTTCTAGGAGCAGGGGAAAATAGGAGTATCTCACTTTACTTTTCTTAAGAATAAGGAATGATGAAGAGGCCACATATACCCAAAGTTCCAGAAGAGTCGTGAAATCAATTGGGACCAATACAAGGGATTAGAGTAAAGCTACCTCGAGTCCCCACCTTTTTCGCTGGGGCTTGTCCGACCTGTCTCTAGGCATGTCAGCGGCTAGTAACCTCATTCCTTCCCTCAAGCGTGGAGGCTACAAGAACTTGCCCAGTTTCTAAATTGGGCCAGAAAGGGACCTAAGCTTAGCGCCTTGAGAGTGGTGCCCCAGTTTTGCTAGGGGCAGTTCTAGTCTGAACGTGGCTACTAAAATCGTGCTAACACTCGGGAGGCTGAGGCAGGGGGACTGCAAATCTCGGTGATTTAGCGAGACCCCTTCTCAAAAAAACAAGGCTGGGGATGTAGCTCAGTGGCACAGTGCCCCTGGGTTCAATCCCAATATCATAAATAAATAGTGCTAGGTCTAACACAGAGGATAGGTAGTTAGGAAGCAGCTCTTGCCCTCCCTAAAATTCCCTGAATCCTAGTATTGAGCACACCCCATACAACTCCTAGCTTCCCTCTTTTCGCTCGTTGGTGATTTTCTAGAGCTCTCTTCAGCACTCCTTTCTCGATATTTCACGTGCCGCCTCCCGCCGCCCTTTCCTCCTCCCTTCATTTTCACTCCGCAACCCTTTCCAGTCTATCCATAGCGGAGCCCATACCTGCCAGCTTCAGGAGCACGTCCGTATAGGGTCACGGCGCTAGCTCCTATACCTGTGGTCTCCAGGAAGTAGCCTCCACACCTGCGGCTCCCTATTGGTGGAACAGAACCAGCGATGTCACCACCAATTGGTTGGCAGACTGTAATGAAGACGGACAATTGGCCGCCCTTTCTGTCATTAAGAGAATTCAGAACCCGCCTTTCTCTGGGTCCCACCTTTCAGAGAGCTGGGAAAGTTGCTGAGGGGCAAGAGAGCGACGCCAGCCATTGACTAATGGGAAGAGCCTATAGTACGGGGTTTGAGTAAGAGTGGCAACGATTGGTCGGCCTTCATCTTCACGCCTAGGCGGGAGCTCCCGGAGGTGGAGGCCCGGGGGGTGGGGTTTGGTGAAGTGGAGGGGTAACAAGATGGCGGCGGAGACAGTGGAGCTCCATAAGTTGAAGGTACCGCGAAGTGAGGGAAGGGGTTAGGTGGGCTCTTCTGGGAACTGAATTATGGAGAGTGGCTTGCGTCTTCTTTTCCTAAATGTCCTTCTTTCAGGCTCTTCCACTTCATTTCCCGCCGTAGTTCTTTTGTCTCCCTTCCCAGGCCTCCCCTAATTTCCCATTTCTTCTCACAGTTTTATTGGTATCTTTACTTGTTATTTCGTCTTCCTTCCTATTGTTGTATTTCCCGTCACCCTTGCCCACCGGGCCGTGCAAATGCCTTCTATCTGTTATGCTGAACTCCTCGTTTCTCATCAGAACCGCATTACGTCAGGAGTCCCTCCTCCGGTCCCTGTGCCGGACCCGGGACCCGTTTTTCTCCCCAGAATTGATACTTTCCTGTCTGTTGTCTAAAGCTGAGATACTCCTGTTAGCAGACGATACCCTTTTTTCCTTATTTCTATTGGAACATGTCACTAAACATGATCCAGAAAATGCTTCCAATCCCTTTTTATAGGTGGGCTTACGCCCCCTGGGCAAATTTCGAAACCTGCGTGAGGCCGCAGAATATAGACCTCCCTATAATAAAGACCTGGGAATGAGGCAGCCGGAAGAATTTGTAAAAATAAAACCCCTCAGCTTAAAAGTTTTTCCAGTTTTCTCACAATTTACCTCTGACTGCCAGCCTTCGCTCTGGTCACCCGCAACCTCCAGAGAGAAACTCTCAGCTGCAGTATTTTTGAAAAACAGTTGCAAGGTTAGATTATCTCTGCCCTGTTTGATCTTTGATGGACCCTGCGTCTCTTGCTGTCTCCACTGGGTGACACTCTGAATCAGAGTTTTAAGTTGTATCTTTTGGAACTCTTGGTAGTTTTCTTATACTCTCCTGGAAGGAGAGAGTACTTTCTTTTAGGAAGAGTTAAAAGAATATCTTGATTATTTGTGTATACTTTTGATTTCACAAGTAGTTTCCGTTAGATGTTTCCATCCTGTCATTCTGGGAACCTTGGACAAACCAGGCTGATTGAGAGAAAACTGAAAACTGATCTTTTAAATTTTAATGCCTGATGAATTAAAAAAAAAAGAAAAGAAAAATATGGAGTAAATGTAGGAAAAGGCCCTATCCTTAATCATAAGCCTTTCTGTGAAAGTCGACATAATTCTTAACTATTACATTCTAAATTGTACTAGTGTTTTTAGAGTTACTGTTAGCTTGATGATGCTGGAATGTGTAAGTGATATCAGTAGTCTCCTGATATTTACTTTAACAAGTAAGAAAAACTGAGCAACAACTTCCATTTATATGTGTGTGTGTGTGTGTGTGTGTGTGTATATATACACACAATTTGTATAATTTATGTACTTCTGTACTGTTTGTATAAGACACTGAAGATAAATTTTAGATGAATGAGAATTAATATTAATAGAAGAGCAAATATTTTCTTCTATTTGTTCCATTCTTGAAATCCTAGATTAAGTCATCAGCTGCCCCATGACTTTTTATGGAGTTTTGTGGAGTTCCTTTTTCCATAAAAATCAGTATTTATCAGCCCCATATTAAATTTGCATTTACTTGGATAAGTCACTTTTACATAATGTTCTCTGACTTGGTTTTAAGTATTAACAGTCTGGGGCTGGGGATGTGGCTCAAGCGGTAGCGCGCTCGTCTGGCGTCCGTGCGGCCCGGGGTTCGATCCTCAGCACCACATACCAACAAAGATGTTGTGTCCGCCGAGAACTAAAAAATAAATATTAAAAAAATTCTCTCTGTGTCTCTCTCC